CTCCCACTCCAGCTCACTCACCCCATGTCTACAACTCTCTCTTCTCCCACTCCAGCTCTCTCACCCCATATCTACAACTCTCTCTTCTCCCACTCCAGCTCACTCACCCCATATCTACAACTCTCAAGATGCTCTACACGTTGACAGTTTTTTGAGGACCCCTAAAGCTCTTATTTACATAGTTATACTTTTATTTATATTCAAAATGAAAACTGAAAAATAAAATTTTAAAATAACAGTAGTAAACCTATTTTTTTAAAAACCAACTACATAAAATGAAATTATTTTATTGTTTATAAAAGTATCTTATGTTTGGCTTAATAAAAGATAGCTAGATTTTCCAAATTACTTCTACATTCATCTTATGATAACAGCATGAGTCATTTAATCCTCTGGAAAACTCTAAGATATAACTGTGAAAAAAATGGCGAAAGACTAATATCTTAGAATTATTATGATAATAGGTTGACTTTATGGACCATCTGGAAAGTCTGAAGGCTCCCAGAAGCTCCCACACCACACTTTGATCTACACAAGTATTTTATACCTGTCTTTCCTGAACTATTCCTGAAAGCAAACACTGTAATTGTCTATTATGTCTTCAATCAATGAGGAAGGTCCTTACAGGCAGTCTGTTATTATCTCCATATGATTAAAGTCTTTAAAATAAAAGGAAAGTGTGTTGCAAATACAGAAAGTAAAGAGGTGTAGAAAAACCATCCTGGTATTGATATATTAGATCTTGGAAGTAAACTGCACCTACTAATGGACCACGCTACTCTTTATGGAAACAAATAAGGGGTGTGTAAAACTGTAGCAGAAATGGTCCGGCGACAACAAATGTCTCCTACTTAAGAACAAGTTAGGAAAAACTGAAATGCTGCTCAACTCGTGCTGGAAGGGTATGCATGTGTATACCACCCTTTCAATGTGACTTAGGAAGCAGCTGGTGCAGTACAACTGCAGGAATCCATAAAGAGGAGACATCTCTGACAGACATCAGGAATCTGTTTCTCAGCTGCTCAGGCCCCAAACCAAGAAGGCGAGGCTTTTATGTGCATGACAGATGTTCCATAGTGTGCCTCAAATAAATGAGTTGGTGAGAAGAGCAGATGATGGACAGGAGCAAAGGTGATAGGAGTTTTCAGTAGCAAGCAAGTTCCTCTAAAGCGGTGTGCGTTTTGAGCACAAACAAGCAGGTGTTGAGATGAATCCAGTGTGAGAAGCACCTCACCTGTCCGGGCAGTCGTTTCCACTTGACGACATCCTTTGCATCTTCCATGTCAGGTTCTGAGTCCACTGGACTCGACTCAGAGTGCCGCTCACAATACACTGGTTTACCTTTTTCCTCCTGAAGAGCCATCATAGACCGATAGGAGGGTTTTATCTGGAAAAGCAGAGGAAATGAGAAAATCCAAACAATTGGGTTCATCTCTTTTTCCTTTCTAGCATGTATTGTTTCTCAAAAATAGTGGAACAAGAAACCCACATGGGCATGCTTCTAAAATGTAATGCAGACACCACTCTACGTTATTTGTATGCTATTTAAAAATAAATGAACAATATGTATGGATTATGATAAGAGTTGTATGAGCCCCCAATAAAATGATTAAAATAAAATAAATAAATGAAAAACAATAAATCAAGCGCCATGGACTTGATTCCAATTCACAATGACCCCTGTGTGTCAGAGTGGTACTGTGCTCCATACAGTCTCCAGTGGCTGCAAGCTTTCAGGATAGACAGCCAGGCTTTCTCCCAAGTCCCCTCTGGGTAGGTTCAGACCACCGACCTTTTGTTTCACAGCTGGGCTCTCCACTGAAATCTATATTTAGTTCTTAATATTTAAAAAAATAAGCTATGATAGGCTGAAGATGCAATTTCTGTAACTTTATTCTTGAAATCTATTTAATTAATTCTAGAGGCTGTATCTTTTTAGAAATGGAAAACACTATGGCACCATTGAATCTCAGTTAACAGAGGACCTACATTGACCTGGACTACTAACTTACACAGTCTGGGACTTTCAATCCTCGAACAGTTACGTACAGTGTCGATGGATAGCGATTTCTTGGACATTTGGACCACCATTCAAAGATCTCAACAACATCTGATGGTGCTCGAGGCTTGGCAGGTGGATAATAAAGCTGTAAGCGAAGTTTCGAATTGATGTTTACATTTCCATTGGCTCCTAGAAGCTTAAAATGGAAATTAAAACAAAAGGTTATAGTCATTGAAGATAAACGCTGACTTGTAATCAATTAATAGGGCCCTTGTAGCCATAATTCCTTAAGGAGCTCCGGTGACGTAGGTGTTACTTATTGAGCTGCTAACCAGCAAGGTTCAAAGTTCGAAACGGCCAGCTGCTCCTTGGGAGAAAGACAGGGCTTCCTACTCCCGTGAGCAGTTATAGTCTCGGTAACCCACAGGGGCAGTCTGCCCTGTCCTATGGGGCCGCTATGAGTCAGCATCGACTCTATGGCAGAGAGTGAGCCATAAGTCCTTAGGTTCAGTCCACTCACTGCCATCGAGTGGATCCTACTCATAGTAACCCTATAGGACAGGACAGGACTCTCAGGCCTCTGTGAGTTTCTGAGACTAAGTCTTTATAAGCATAGTGTTTTGGGCGGGTCCGGACTGGGCAGCCCCCATCTCCTCTCTGGCTCCTCAGGAAGATAAAACTTCAAGGCCCTCATTTCCAGCCTCTCCAGAAGACAAATGACCTACTGTTAAGTATGCAAATTCTTCCCCAACATTCCAAGGCATTTATCTCTCCAGACCAAGGCTGTGCAGCCCCTTCCCAGGACCCCAGGAAGCAACTTATCTTCCCAGGCCCCCTTGTATAGTCCCTGTTCCAGCACTCCAGGGAGTAGGTTGGCAAACAACAAAGGCACTTCCCACGGATTGCATTCTGACTCAAGGTCCTGCAGCTGCAAGAAAAAAAAAAAAATCTCCCTTCCTGTTGTCAACATATACCTCCTTAGCTTGACCCTATTTTTCTCCCACCACCTCACTGACAAGCTGGATTTCCCTGACCTAACTCGTTGGGTCTTGGAACCCGCCCAGGAGTTCAAGATGCTCCTGTCCCTTTCTCTGCTCTCCCTCCTCCCCCTACCCTAACAAAGCTGCTCTAAACCTCACGTTCCTAGTCTCAATTCTATCTCCATTCCGTGTCTCGGTGTTGACCTCTCATATAGAAAGCCCCATCTTTTCCCTGAAGAGTGGCTGGTGGGTCCAAAGCACTGACCTTGTGGGTCACAGCCCAATGCACAACCACTCCGTCACCAGCTATCCCATTAATCCCTTACGTGACGCACAATTCTGGACTTTATGCCTGTGGCTAATAGTCCCACCTTGGAGGACCTTCACTTCCCTATTAAAGGACAGGGCTAGGGGGAGAACAACACGATTTTAGTTGAGGGTGTGAACCAAGCCATGCCTTTTGTTTCCTTGGGGGTATCTTTACACTCTCACAGAGGGTATGAGTTAGGACACCATCCTTTGTTTCTTGGGGGGAAGGTCGGCTAACACACAAAAACACCACCTCCATCAAAGCCATTCCTGTTTCCTGACAAGGTTTCAGTAGAAGAAAGAAGACCTGTTTCGACCTTCAGACATTTTTGGCTTCTGGCTCTGGACTCTGCACTGGGCTCACCGCGGCCTGACCTTCGGATTGAGAGCTGAAGAGCCCCACAGTACCTGAACCACTTCACTAAGGTTTTTTGAGTTTCGGGGATTGCAGGGAATCCCAGAACCCGGGGACACAGAGGGAATATGCTCAAAGGAAGCACGGCGGAAAAGGGAAGCGGAATAACAGCTCAGCAAAGTTAGACATTTGTGAAATTTTTAACCTCGAACTTCTTGAGACTAGTCTACTATTAATTCTTCTAAAAGAATTTATGACCACAAACTCACTTCAAAGTATGAAGACGGCATGCTGAAAGCCCTGAGCTCAGCAGAGCGAGGAAGAACACGCACAGAGTTGGCGTGCAGACCTTCTAAGGGCCACAGTGACTGCTCAAGTACTTTCCAGATGACTTGCTTTAGTCTATTCAAAGAATAGGCAACTTGACCCAACAACTTGACCGTGCCAGATTTTATGTCATAAGATAGGGATGCGTACATATTTGAAATAGTGCCAGGAAGTTTGAAAGAAAACTTTTGTACTTTAATTTTTAAAGTCACAATCATTTTTAAAAGTGATTGGGATAAAGAACTCACTCCTGCCATTCATTACACTTGCCTCAAGAATGTATAATCTATCCTCTTAGAAGGATCTATTATTAAAACGTTAAACATTTATGTTCATGTGAAATAAATGGAGATTTTCATGAAAGAAAAAAAAACATTTTACTAACGTGACTTCCTCAGAGCATACCTGGTCTCTGTACTGTGGTGTCTGCTGCAACTGAACAGTGAGGAGCTGGACACCTTCGCAGCAGTGTGAGTGGAAGATGACAAGCTCGAAGAGTAGCAACGGAACGCAAGGAAAGTATTAATAACTCTTTAAGAGGTTCATTTCCCATGTCTTACTGACTGATAAATTTTGGAAAATACAAGAGGAAACTCAAGAAAGACTGAAATCTTTTGTCATGGTGGCAATGTCTGTATTTGGGCTAGTTATTATAGCATATTGTGCATTTGAACTGGTAAGCGGTCAGTGTAAATGTAAAACTACGCTATTCATTATTTAACTTCTACAGTAATTTATTTAACATCTGTTTCACTAAATTACCCTGAATTCAAACAGTCACTTGTGGCTAGGGGCGCTCATCAAGGACAATATAACTCTAAGGTTGTAAATGTGAAAGACTGGGCAGATGGTAGGGCTGCCAACTGAAGGGGCAGTTAAGATGTTCAGTATGGGGCAGTCTGAGACATCTATTTGTAAGTAGAAACTTCTAGCAGGTAACTCTATTTATGAGCGTGAAGCACAGGTGAGAGCCCAATGTATAACACCCTATGTCAGCAAGACTCCTAGTTAACGATTACATGATGTATCACCCAAGGAAAGTGGGTCAACGATAGAACCCTACATAGAATCAACACTTATCTGATCGGCAGAGGAACATAAAGGAATGAATTGAAGGGTGTAAGAAAAACTAAGCCGCACCTAGTGTGACACCGTATGTTATGTGAGCAACCATCTCAGCTTTGTTGTTCTGGTTACACATGAAGTCCACGGGACCAGGTAGTTTTGCTTTCTTGGTCCACTAACTAGAACAATGGCTGACATCTAGAGAGGGCTTAATAAATGTTTGCTGAATCGGGGAGCTGAGTGAATGATGGTGGGACTGCTGCTTCTCCTTTCCAATGTGGTCCCCTCAGAGCTACACTGTGGCTTTGGCACACTCTCAAAACCAAACTCACTGCCATCAGACTGACTGTGACTCGAAGTGACCCCGAGGGACAGAGAACTGCCCCTGGGGTTCCCCAGATCAAAACTCTTTACAGGAGTAGAAAGCCTCAACTTTCTCCCAGGGAGCAACTCGGGGTTTCGAACTGCTACACATGCAGTAGGCAGTCTAACACAAGTAACCACTACTCTATCAGAGCGTCAACAAGTATTTTAGGATCGAATTGAACATCACTTGAGCTTGAATTGACCCATCACTGAAACTGTTTTCTCTTAGACCAGAACTCACTTTCTGAAGTCAAGCCGCTACCTGAGAAAGCAGTGGTCAGACCTGAAGTTTGGTGTGTATACAGTGGATGTGAAAAGCATACCTTCAGAAATGCCCAGGCAATTTTCCGAAAACCACACGCTCGGTTTTGAACCTCCGAGTTATTCCTAATTTCATCCATGCTTAAGAAGTCGAGAATCTGCAAATAAGTTTAAGAAATTACTTCGTAAGATATTTAGTGACCTAACGTTTTAATATTTTCCAATAAGAACTTTAAAAAATTTTGCATTCTTAATTTTCTCCCCTAATTTGGTTAGAAATAAATGTGTACCAATTTTCATTCACCTTAACACTGTCTTCTAAGTAGTGTGCATCTATTTTTCTAACTTTATTTTCTCTCAGTAAATATTTTATTAACATTCATTTTAATTCCAAGTCAAAATACCACTAGCTTCAAAGACAGTCTTAATAAAAGTAAATCAGGCATAGAACCTTAGGCTTTGAGCGTTTGTTTTGATGTAGCTGAATTGACATCATGGGTTCGCTGAAAAACAAAACCAAAAACCCTCTTAGTCCTATTTCTGGGTCTTTCCCTGGGTCCTGCATTTGGGGGCTTTCTTTTTAGATACAAGTTCTCATTAGGCTTTCACAAAGGCTTTCCCTTAAAGCTATATCCTCTTTGGAAGTTCAACTCCTGGCTTTGCAATCAACCTGCCACAGAGACTACTATATCCTCTTTGGAAGTTCAACTCCTGGCTTTGCAATCAACCTGCCACAGAGACTATGTGGACTGTAGTATGTATGTCTCAGCAACTACTTAAACGTACTGTTGACTACCAAAAGATCACTTGAGATAATGAATCTTTGTGGAAGGCTGCATAGAAAATATGAGCTCCATTCACTGTTCTTCTTTAGACAGTGAAATCTGTTTTCAGATATTATACATACTCATTGAAAATGTTCCAGCAATACAAGGAAAAGAACATGTAAGTAAAAAGAGCTGGAAATCCCAATCCGTAGATTGTCATCACTAACCTTTCTCTCACTGCCACTGAGTTAATGCTGACTCACAGTGAACCACCATAGGTGTATGGGAGTAGTAAGCCCCGTCTTTCTCTTGCAGAGCTGATGGTGGTTTTGAACTGCCAACCATGTGGATCACACAGTCCAATGCAAAACCACTGCGCCATGAGGGCTCCTTCATTAACCTCAAGTCAATACATCTAAACCTATTTCTGTACATCCTGAAGTATATGTGAAAAGACTACAATGTGAGAATGCTCTGTTGCAAACTCTTCATGCATGGGTTACAAATGCCCCAACCGCATACAGTCCCCAGTTCCAAACCAACTCCCATAGAGGCTTACTATTTTTAAATCTGAGGGATTTACAAACAGGCACTACTTTGTCACATGCATCCAAATATTATTATTACTGTAGGATGACGTTGAAGGTGTTTTAGTTTATCTTGAAATATTTCTTTAGTATTTTTATGCATCGTCAGGCACACTATGTACACTAAGACAAGCATCTGACTATATAAGATAAGAAATGTACATATGTAACTGTTTCAACCAAAGTAACAATTTGGCTTAAAGACAATTTAGGGATAAAACCCATTCATAAGCTGGGAGCTGACTGTACTGCATAATGGATACTGCTTCCTGACAATGCTCATGCTAGTAGATGGGTTAATAAATGTCAACACGTCATGTTAAGGGCTGAACAGTACTCTAATGTATTATAGATATCATAAGCTAATTAAAATAATAACAGTCAATGTGGGTTCTTCTTAAAATGTTGCTAGTATAAACAATGCAGAAATATTCTGCACACACATTTTCATGCTCTTGTCACGTTTCCCTTAAGACAAATGCCTGTTATTTCGGTGTTATGGCTCAGAGGTAGTGCCCGGTGGTCCTCGGAAAGCCCTCAAAGAATCGTTGCTGGGGCAGTGTCACATCACAGGTAAACAAAGCAACAAACCACAGGACTTATAGCCCAACCATCTATTTCTCTTATACCTCTTATTAGTAAAATTTAGTATGAAAATAGGCACCATACTTATCAGAATTTCTAAGACAAAGGAAAAAATCGAGATACAAATGATTCCCTTTTTTCTTATTAGTTTTAAGTAAATCACACAATCTAATCATAATCATAAGCAGCAGAATAATTGCATCACAGACACACAGATGCAAGTCAAGGATCACAAACAGTTAACTCCCCAAATGACTACTGGGCTCCGGTTATGTCAATTGCCTTGATGCTCCTATGGGAAAGCTCTCAGTAATAGGCATACTGGAGGGAGGCTTCCTCTACCTCCCTTTGCTTGAACCTTTAGAGTCAAACTTACCCAAAAACATTAGTTACATGTACCCCAAAGTGATGTAAACTTGGAAAAATCATGGTTTTACAATCAGAACTCTGATTCTCCATTAAGCAGCAGCAGGAGACTAATAAGCTAGCTCAAAGCCAATCCACTCCATAAAGCTTTCCCTGACTGCTCTGGCTTTCTGTAACCCTTTACACAAGAACTTCTAGGTCAATGTAACGGTGTATGTTTATCTTCATCTCACCAGTAGATTATCAATTCTTAGGGCTTTGCCTTTAGTGAAGGTGGTTAAGAATGGAAGCTGTGTATGCATACAGATTCGGCTCATCACTTAGCTAATAGTTGTGGAGTTGTTACAAGGATTGTGATACCGAACATGCCAGAGGAGTCACCACTGACATCAGGAAATACTCAGCAAACACATCATTGTTGTCCAAGGGCTGCTCACCTAGATTTCCAGTGCACGCTGCTGACACTGAATCCTGAGGATTACATTCTCACACAATTCTGATGCATTGTTGAACTATTAAACATAACTACTTACATTGGTGCTATTCATTCTACTATTAAATTTTAGTTAAATTATTTTCATCAATCCATACCTCGAAGAATAGTATAACTTTAGGGCTCTCGTCAAGATCACGAAGCAAATAGGGAAAGTTTTCATTAAATATAATCTGTTCTTCCCATTCTGGAAGTCTTGATTTTAACTGTTTAAAATCATACGGCTGGGTCATAATAGGAAGAATATAATCCACATTCTCTTTCTCATAGTATGATGAAACAGACCGTTCGCTGCTCAAAAAAAAAATAATTAAAATGATTTTTAAGAAGTTTAGAAAAATAAAAATATAGCGTGTAAAATAGAAATAATAAAATCAAAATGATGCTTTTGACTGCCTATCTAGAAAATTATACATTTTATGAGATTTTTCTATCTTGCCTGTATATGCTATCAGTTTGTTGCACAGAAATCCTATTATCATAAATAAACTAATTTAGAGGCATCATTTACATCTTTGGGCTGGAATAAAGGAACTCCTTCAGAATCCTCAATAAATCTGTGATAAATTATAGTCAATTTGAATAAGAAAACGAACACGTAAGCACGCCCCATTATAACCTATTATGATTTACAAAAGTAGCCAGTTAAGCTTGGGTCGAGGAATCTGTGGGTGGTGCAACTGAATAATGTGCTGGGCTACTAACTTGAAGGTTAGTGGTTCGAGTCCACTCAGAGCCGCTTCAAAAGAAAGGATTAGCAATCCCCCTGGGAAAAACCAGTCATTGAAAGCCCTACTCCACTCTGCTCATCGTGGGGTGACCATGAGTTGGACTCGACTCCAACAGCAACCAGTGTTAAGCAGGGCGGGAGCTCCAATCCCACTCTACTTCCACAGACCCGCTGGACTATCAGTTCTCCGCCCTCCTTCCACACAGCATTGTGATTGGTGCAGGGCAAGGATGAATAACTGTACCAGACCCATGACAGTTCTACTCTCACTGGCCTTCAGCCGCCAGTGCCAGAAAACAGGACGTCCTCATTGTGGGCAATCTCAAGAATTGGCTATGTAATTAAAAAATAAAAATTACCTATCGTCTTTCTTGACATATTGACCCGTATTCGCATCAACCACATGAATTTTTACCATTGGGTGAGAAATCATAAAATCTGATTTGAGTCGGTCGGTTCGATGAACGTAAACTCCCAGGACAAGGTTGTCATCAAGCAAGCATTTGGGGTACACTGGGCTATCTCGACTTGTTACTTCATGAACACCATCACCATCAGTGTCTTCGTGATCATCTGAAACTACACACGTGGAAGGAAATCAGAGTTGTAATTCATTGTTACCCTGGTGTACGTTACAGATACCCTCATCTCTGTGATGCGGGATCATTTGTTAACAAAGGAACTTCAAGGGAAGGGACAGCAGCAAATGGTCTCCTGGGACTAAAACACTTTATTCACTCAGGAATGACAACAGAATGAGGAATCTTCCTCACAAGAACTGATGACATACAAAGGGAAGCATAGGAAAGAGAACCACACACATGTCTTTATATCTAGGTGTCATCCAGAAGCAGTGTCTAGCACTCAGTTCCTTTGCAGCTCAACATTTCTGCCTTTGGGTACAATACAATACAGTAGAATGCATCAGGCCAATGGTCTTGTAATAACTAGAAAAGAAATAATAAATTATAAAACTTTTACTGTTAAGAGAATCAGAAAATTATGGAAACAATGGAGAGGAGATGAACTGAAATTCAAGAGACATAAAGCCATTCAGAAAGAAGTAAAGTAATGGCAGTCATTCTGGTATTGTTAGACATTCGCCAGTTCCAGGTGTGGGCACAGCATTTGGGATTGGCCATGTAGGTCGGTGCTGGGAGAAAGAAACAAACAAACCCTTCCCGACTTGTTATTTCTGGAGGCTCATTAGCATGCATGACATTGCAGCCAGCTACATTAGAATTCACTTTTTAAAAGAATTTTTTATTGTGAATTAGGTGAAGAGTTAGAGAACAAATGATTTTACATTCAGCAACCTATCAAACGCCCACCATCAGAGCCCGGTTGCACCTTGTTCTGTCCATCTTCCTCTGGCTGGATATGGCCTTCCCCTTCACCCACGTCAATCACCAAGTCTGCTCTCTAGCCTGATACTTCTCCTTCCCCTCCTCCTCTTCCCAGCCCTGGGGTAATCATCAAAGTCTCTTTCTTTTAGTGTGGAAACAACGAGCCAGTCAGGGTGCAGTATAGCAACTATGAAACATACAACTTTCCTCTAGTTCCGAAACGCTTCCACCCGCCCCCCAATCCCCCACCCCCTCTATCATAATCCCAAATCTACCTTACAAATCTGGCTAGACCAGAGGATGTACACTGGTACAGATAGGAACTGGAAATACAGGGAATCCAGGACAGATGATCCCTTCAGGACCAGTGGTGTGAGTGGCGATACCGGGAGGGTCGAGGGAGGGTGGGGTAGAAAGGAGGAACAGATTACAGGGTTATACATATAACCTCCTCCCTGGGGGATAGACAACAGAAAAGTGGGTGAAGGGAGACGGCGGACAGTGAAAGATATGACAAAATAATAATTTATAAATTATCAAGGGTTCATGAGAGAAGAGGGAGCAGGGAGGGAAGGGGGAAAATGAGGAGCTAACGCCAGAGGCTTAAGTAGAGAACAAATGTTTTGAGAATAATGAGGGTAATGAATGTACAAATGTGCTTTACACAATTGACGTATGCGTGGATTGTGATATGAGTTGTATGAGCCCCCAATATAATCATTTTTTTTAAAAGTCTTAACAGTGGTCTCATGCACTCTCCTTTAGTAATTTAAATACACTTGGATAGTTTACCAAAGTGGACCACACTGGCCACACAGTACAAAAGCTTCAGTGAAGTAAACTGAAATCACTCCCGAGGTGTTCTCTGATAATAGCAGAATGTGGAAACCAGTAACTAAAAGATAAATAGAATCCCCCCTGTGGCTGGAAAGTACATGACTCATACACTTCTAAATATTATGAGTCAGTGGAGAAATTAAAATAGAATTTGGAAAGCATCTTATACTGAATGATAGTAAAGATATAGCAACTCAAATATGTATACAGTAGGGCTAAAGCAGATCACTGACAGAAATGGAAAGTCTGCAGGTACGTGATAAGACTGAACATTATTACCTTTCCAACTTACAAAGCTGGGAACAAAACAAAATCCTCAGTAAATGAACCCAAAGAAAGTAGGAAGAAACATGTAGCTAAAAAGACATTGCCTTTAAAACAGTATACAATGAACACAAAAGAAAGTCAAACTTGGCTCTTTGAAAAAATTCACAACATGAAAACTCCCAGATCATAATCAAGAAATGGAGATTTAAAAAATGACCAATCAAGAATGAAAATGGAGATATTATTCACATGCTAGAGACATACAAATTTTTGAAAATTTGGAAAGATAAACACATTTCTAAAAAAAAATAAAATAAAACTAACAAAAGAATTAGAAAATGCTGTCTGATATTTATTACCCAAACTAAATCTTATTAAAAAATTTCCCCTATAAAGAAAATTTCAACTGGAAAATTCTTCCAAACATTTTAAAATAACAGCAATATATAACAATGCTAACAGAGACCTGAAAGATAAAACATTCCCCAATTCTTTTCTATTTATTTATTTAACTGGGAGCTCTTACAGGTATTATAACAATCCATAATTCAATTAGATCAAGCATAGTTGTACAGTTGCTGCCACCATCATTTTCAAAACCCTTTCTTTCTTCTTGAACTCCCTAGTATCAGCTCCTTTATTCCCTCTCCACCCTCCCTTACCATCCATCCCTCAGGACCCTTTTATATATATATGTAGCATATAGACTCTACACTCGAGTATAAGCCGACCCGAATATCAGCCAAGGCACCTAATTTGACAACAAAAACTGCTGAAAAAGTCAGCTTATCCATGAGTATCTACAGTCTATTATTATTATGGCCATATCTCACACCATCCAATGTAACCATTCGCCTACAATTCTGCTATTCATTCTCCTTGAGTGGGGTTATACAGTCATCATTGCTATCAGCCCTACCCCCCTTTTCGCACCCTCAGGGAATTGCTACTCCCGTTACTATCTGTGAAGGGTTTATCTATCTTGGATTTCATGCATCGGATGATGTTAATTATAAAAAATGAACATACGTAGGTCTAACCGGATTAATGAAGCAAAACTAATGAGCCCACTATAACCTTGACAAAACCTTTTAATGTACAAGCCAACCTCTCTCAAGACCATAGATACACATATCCTAAATAAAGTATCGGCCCGTGAAATCCAGCAATAAAGAAAAAGGATGACATTCACATGACACAACCAAGTCGACCTCTCTATCCCCACCAGTGACACAGGATGATTCAAAATGAAAGGCATGCAGTGAGTCCCAATTCATATGTACATGGGTGAAAATGTGTATCATAATTAAGGTGTGTGTTGAACAAACCCTTGACAAACTTCAATGTGCATTCATAATAAAAACTGTAAACTAATTAATTAGAAGACGAACTTCCTTATTCTGATAAAACACTTACAAGAATCCTCACAGCAAACATCAATCACACTTGTTGAATCTCTTCTTCCTTTTCTAGGTTCCTTAAAACTTGGGCTTAAAAATTCACCCCAGAGGATGATGCAAAACTATAAACTGTGCTTCTTTTGAGCTCTTTGATGGAAAGAAGATGTTTCTGTTTACAGGCAGTTTTAATCTACATGTGCTCTCAATGTAAATGGAAATCCAAAAGACTCCCTGCTTCTTTGTTATGTTTAATTGCTCTTTAGAGCTTGACCTATGCTTCATCAGTATGATAAAACGAATGAATAGCTGCCATTTTCAGATGTATGAACAAAAGAGAAAAAAATGCTTGTTTTTAATTGCCTATTTTCTGTTCTCAATATCAACTAAGAGCCTGTCTTTGCTTTGTCTTGATTACTTTCCCTCATTATAGAGATGGTGCTGCCCATTCACGGGTCTAAAAGCCAAATAAAACCTCAAATGGTAAGACTGCTTATCCCTTTTGTTTGGACACACACAATGGTAAAATAATGGAATTTTCCTTCCAAAGCTGAAGGAGACTTGTTATTACCACTTTTAATTAACACGGCTTAACCAAAATCCCAGCCAGTGGATCAGAGGCAAGAAAAGTGAATAAAAGGTATAAGGACGCAGAAGGAAAGAAATCTGTGACCATTAATAGAGGATGTGATTTTATATATATATATACAAAATCCAAAATTTATGGATAAATGCTTAGAAGTAATTAAAATTAGCAAGTTCACTGGATATAATATTAAAAACCTAAAGGATCAGTTATTCACCAGCAACCAACAAACAGCAGATAAAACTTTTTTAAAATGCCATTTATAATTGCATCAAAAAACACCCATTACCTAAGGAATAAATCTAAGGATAGACTTTAAGTCAATTTTTTAAAATCAATGAAAAAAGTTTTGAGAGCTCTAAATAAATGAAGTACACCCATCTAATGGAGAGTTAAGCTTCAATGTGTAAAGATCACTCACTCCACTCACTCACACTCACAACAGCAGATGCGAACTTAGTCCATCCTATAGGACAGGTAGAACTGCCCACTGTGAGTTTCTGAGACTATAAGTCTTTAATCTTACGAGAGCAGAAAGGCCAGTCTGTGGAGCAGCTGGTGGTTTTAAACTGCCGACCTTGCATACTACAGTCCAAAAGTAACCACTCTCGGGGCTCCCGATGGGTACAGACAGACACTCCACCTGTTGCTGTTGGGGGGTCTTTGAAATGTCAGCTCTTGCATCATCCCCCAATTGTTATGTTTCAGCCCACTGATGGGGTCTACTATCCCCCATCACAGGCAGCACTGTGTGTCAAAATACAATGAGACACTCGGTGCCATCACACTAATGCCAACTCTCAGGGATTCCATAGGCTTGCGTAGAACTGCCCCTGTGAATTTCGGAGATTGCAACCTTTCTCCTGAGCAGCAGCTAGGGGTTTTGAACTGCTGGTCTTTCAGAATGCAGCCCAAGAGATCTCAAAATGTTTGGGGGCTTTTTTTGATGATGATGATGATGATGATGATAAATACACCACCACTCTTCTGGAATTGGTCATATAACAATCTGATATACAATGGCCAATAAAAGTTAATTTCAGCTTAATAATACGTGGGATATCAATCTTTATATAATCCATTTCATTTTGATGACTTTCAATTTTCCTAGATTCATACTTCAAATGTGGGATACAAAAAGGCTTTTCCAAAGTTTTTCTCCCCCAAATATAGGCCAAACCTAGGATGTCGGAGATGCTGAAAAGACCTCGTCGATTCAGGTGAATGGTCATCGCAGGTATAATCAGACGTATAGCAATTGCCACCACTGCTGCCGTCGCTGGGGGAGCACGGCAGGACTCCATCAAAACTGAACATTTCGTGCAGAAGTGGCAAGTGAGCTCACATCAGCTCTGGGCCACTCAGGCAAAGGTGGACGATGAACTGGGGGGGAAGTAGCGGAGCCGCAGCAAACTGTAAAGTGGTTGGAAGATCAAATTATGGACTTGCAACATCAATTAATGCTAAAATGTGATCGGAATGCAACTGATTTTTGTATAACCCCTTACCCATATAATAAGACAATGCATGACTGGGATTTGATTAGAAAACATTTGCAAGGGTTTAAGGGAAACATTTTGTTAGATGTTGATCAGAAAAAAAGACTATTTCCTATACATTTAAAGACAGACTCAAGGTGTCCCCTGGCTCTGATGTAATTAAGTAATAGGTGAATGGCATAGAAAAAGGCTGGACCCGCGTGCTTGGGGTCAAAGTATTTCACGTAGCTTAAGTTCCAGTCTGACTGTGCTGCTTATCATCGTAATTTGGAGCCTTGCTGCTAGCTACATTTTGAATGTCTTCTAACCTGAGGAATTAATTTGCTGGCCAAGTTCCACTTCTACCTATATGGTTTCCAGCGGCTAATTTCCCAGAAGTGTACTGTCTCCAGCTTTCTCCTAGTCTAAGCTACGCTGACATCTAATCACCTGATGATCGTGCTATTTGAATGACCGATGGCACAGCTCATAGCATCCCGGCAATGCGGAAGCCTCTACAATATGACAGACTGACGAAGTAAGGACCATAAATTCTCAAACTGCATATTTTTATCCCAATTTCTGGCCAATTAAATGAAGACCAAAAAAGTGGGGTGGCGGTAGACATACAAAATAGGAAAGTACAGAGAAATAGAAGAGAAGAGGCGCTGCAAAGTAACAGGAAAGAAAGGACACGGGGAAGCGCAGAGAACGAAGGTGAGGAATTGGAAAGAGAACAAGTGTGACCGAGTGAGCCAGCCTGAAGACTGGGAACGATGACTGGCTGCGGAGCATTTGCAGCTTTCAATAATTATCCATTTTCACTATTTATGGCTTGGAACTCACAGGTGTGAAGAAGAAATCCTCTAGGCCAGGGGTCAGTTGACATCTGAGACAGAAGAGCCAATCCTGTCCCGCACAACAATTTAAAATTATTTGAGAGATACATTTTTACAAACAAATGAAATCACCTTATCTGAATAATATCCTTTACATGTTTGCATTTGACTTCAGAACCACATGTACGTACCGAAAGAGCCACGTGTGGCAGAAGTTGGCCCTCTGCCACAACAGCAACTATGAAGTTAGTGCCATTCTACAGGTGGATTAAATTGAGTAGAAGATGCCAGAAGCATAAGATGTTCGAGATGATTCGCATAATATATATTGGTCAGAGATCCAGGTATAAATAAATGAAAACTTTCAATCGAGATGAATGCAAATAAGCACCTCTCCCTTGGAGCCTTTTCAATGTATGCCTCGATTCCCACTTGTTTCCAGGATTAACTTCCTAGGAATAAGTGACTTCGAAACAGGTTCATACGATTCGGGTAACAAACCTGCTTTGGCCTTCTTCTTTATGTTGGGGGGCTGGGGTTTTTTGTCATCTTCCGTGCCATCTTCTACATGTTGTTGGGTTGTGTTCAGCTCATCATCTTGATGGGAATCTAAAGTTACTGCTCCAACGGGAGGGTCCTTCTTTTGTTCACTTTCAACTTTGTCACGTTCAAGTTCAGAGGTGGTCAACGGTCTGCAAATATATCCAAGGACATGCCATTACAAATATCAACGCACAAGTATTCACATATGGCAAAGCGAACAGTGAATAAAGGCAAGGATAGTCTTAAGAACCAGTCATGTCCTGCTAGGAGAATATATCTTTTTATATACCAATTAGCTGTCAAACTAAGCATTATGGGTATTATTTCTTACAGTTCTGTGATGTATACCCCATGTGCCAACTTACACTGAGCTGTCTATCCCTGCAGTACAATAAAGCTGTATTCCATTTGCAATGAATCTTCCTGGTTTTGGATAGGAAACCAAACTCACTGCCAAATCGATTCTCACAGCAACCCAAAGTTCTGCGTTTGATTTTGGATTGATCAAAATAGCTTTCCCCTGCTGCCAGCTAGATGATTCATGAAAAAATTCTGGATGGTTTTTGTAAAAGTCAAAATATGTTCTAGTTGATTAGTTCTGTCCTAAAGAGGCTTCAGATATTCACTCACCTTTTGATTTCTAGGTAAAAATCAATGGTCTATGTTTTCTAGTGCCTTGTATGACGACACTACAGCTTCAGAAGGCCTTTATTAAAATTAAAATCTGCAAAAGGTAAACTAGTAGATTTTTTTGCAGTCCAGAAGCACACTGAGCTATAGGGAGAAACTAGCCTCATAGCATTTGCTTAAAATTTACCAGATTAAAAAAAATATATATGCATCTAAATAATAAAAAAATTGACTTCCATTATCAGTCCTGTTTCAAAACAAAATACAAGGGCTTCAAGTTAGGCATTTTTGAAAGTCGCGCAACTTTATCACACCACCAAACTTGCTTACTTAAAGAGAATAGCTACCCTTTGTGTGCCACTGCCCTGGAGGGCATGATTCATTTACAATGTGTGAACTATCCTGACTGCAGCGACTGTGGCTCACCAGCCTGTCACAGACGGGGTGGCAATTAGAAGGAAGACTGACCGCACACAGCGGGAAGCAGCAGCAGCAAGAAGTGGCACACTGGGCAAAGTGCTCAGCTGCCAATCAGAAGACTGTCAGCTTGAAGCCACCAGCCAATCGGTGGGAGAAAGATGTGACGGTCTAGCCCCTGAAGACTCGCAGCCTTGGAAACCCTACAGAGCAACTCTGCCTTGCAGGGCGGCTCTGAGCCAGAACTGACGGGATGGGTTTGGGTTATGGCAGGAAGTAGCGTCTCAGGATGGCCCTGTTGATCTCTCCCGCCTGGTCTTCAAGTCTTTGTGTGGTTGGTTCCCTCTCCTTGAGTGTTGGGTGGACCTAGTGACTCACTTTTAACAAGACCCAATACCTTAGAGTCATGGCTGCCACTTCTGAGACGCAGTTCCAAGAAGACTGTGACTTCTGGCTTGCCTTCTCTTAGCTCTTACTCTAAGCAGCCCACCTGACATGGGAACAATGTCTCTGGCAATGGCCAATGAGGACCTGGTATACCTGCCCACAGCCACATGAACATACCCATAAGGTGAAAATTTTCTTCTGATTTCTTCAATGAATAATCTCTGATCAGATTCCTTCTAAGACCTTTCTTGGTGGTTAAATTATTTTACTTTTATTTTGGAAGGAAAAAGTAGTCAATTAAGGGTGGCTTGTGGACTGGGTTACAATAACGTAGCGGAAACTGGACGTATTACTTGCCTTTTACTGCACAACAGACATGTATAATGGGGTCCAAGAGCCAGGTCTCGTGGCAGATGCTCCTTGGTAGAGTCAAGAAGGGCGCAGCCATGTTTACAACCTGGCTGTTATTCCGGCCAAAAGGCCTGAGTCAGAGGCACTCCACCACGGCAACTCAGTCTCCAAATGCCAGGCAATGGGGGAAACAGCACATCTGCTGTCTTAAGCGTACGGTAATTTTTTTCATGCAGCAATAAACTAATACATGCACTAACATGTCCCTGCAGCAATCTAATTTGCCTTCTCTCTGTGACCACTGGTTACATAACTCTGATGAGAAACTGTTTTTGTTTTGTTTTACTGTTGTTGTTCAAGCTGCGAGTGTTGAAAATTGTCCTTGGATGCCAAGGAATGAATATATATATGTATGTATTCCCACCTCAAATTGCATCTCTAAATGTAGGCTGGAATAACAACAATTACTAAGCCTGGCCAGTAAAAGCGATTGCTTAATTTTATTGTTTTCTTAAAGAGAAATAAATTTGAAGAAACTCACAGAAAACCACCTAATTCAGGCAAGCACTGAGATGGATGACTATACCAAGTGGCCAGTAGCGCTAGCCGTGTGGCATAACCAGAGGGTCAGATTACTGGCACTTTTATGTCCCTTGTGTCGACGTGTCCTACACTGAGCAGATATTATTTAAATGACAGGAGGAAAAAGGCTATCAAATCTAATGTTTTTATAAAAAGAAACAAGCATTGTAAAAAAGAGAGAGAGAAAATTAAGTTCCTATTGTTTTAAAAACCAATGTGGGTAGGGAGAGACTTTGCAGGTAGACCACCACGCTTCTTTCCAGTCCTGTAGTATTCTAGCTCCTCCATGAATGGGTTCTTGTAAAGTATTTGGCTCAAAGAGGTAACAGGAGCCCCATGGGTGTCCTGGGTGCTGCAAATAGCTAACGTCCTTGGCTATTAACTGAAAGGTTGAGATACCAGTCCAGGGCTGGCGATCTACTTCTGAAAAATCCTTCAATGAAAACTACAGACCACAGTTCGACTCTGACCCCTCTGGGTTCCCCATGAGTTAGAATAAACGCCGGGGTTAAGCTACGCAGCCACTGGTTACGGAATGCATCCCTGTGACCTGTTATTCCTGTAATGGCAACGGCTCCAAACGAAAGAATACACTCTATTTGGCTGTGTTTGTTACATGTCAGATATCACTCAAGGGTTGAAAATAAGGCTATTTCTTTAGGCAGCATTTTATATGTATTAATACAATGTACCTTGCTTCAGCTTTCGACGGGACTGGAACTTTCTTCTTTTTCTTTATCCTTTTCTCAGTGCTCGATTGGTCATCCTGCAGGGAAGTATCTGGAGGAAAATAGGTCAACTGTTCTTTCAGTTTCCTTCGTATTTTCTTCTTAATTTCCTTAGCCATTTCTTCAGCGACCTGGAGCTGATAGACGTGCAGTAGCTCTTCTTCCTCAGCGATATCATTACGCTCCCTTCCTTCATCTGTCTTCTCGCTCTTCAGCGGAGCAGCGCCCAACTGGGAGGCTGCTCGTGCTTTCTGCTGTGTGGGGTCCACTTTCCTCTCACGCGTCTCCAGGTCCGTGTCCTGCGTAGACACGTGCAGCATCGCTCTTGTAACCTTTTTCTTTGACTTTCCCTGTTTCCCCCCCTCTACACAAGCATCATCAATTGGATTTTCAATCGGTTGCGCATTCTTGAGCTTGTTTTTGGAGATGCGCACACTCTTCTCAGGATTATCAGCGCTAGTGACGCTTCCGTCATCACTGTCGGTCTCTTTAGTATTCTGAAGGCTGCATCTAAAAGGGTCACTCTAAGAAAGAAGACACAATAGCACGGTGTCAGCAAATCATGGTTTAGTTTATCCTTCCACAATATGCAATACTGAAAAGGTTACTCAATGTTTTTTTTTAACTTAGACAGGATGATGAGCATGCTAGTGCCTTTGATGAACACTCTTCTGGCCTAAGGAGCCCGGTGGCAGAGTGGGCTAAGGAAAGGGCTGCTAATGGCAGGGCAGGAAGTTCAAACCCATTAGCTGCTCCCCAGCAGAAAGATGAAGCCGACTGTCCTTCTAATGATTTACACTCAGGGTGACATTAGGAAGCAGTTCTACTCTATCCTTCTATAGGGTCACCGTAAGTCAGAATTACTTGATGGGAGTGGGTGAGGTTGGGTCTCCTACTTTATTCTTTTAAGCATAATATTAATAATAACTGAAAAGAACTTCAGATTAAATTATTAAGTAACATGGGGAAAATAGGTAATGATTTCCATAAGTGAATTGCTAAAATCTCCAAAAACTATTTTTCCTCATTGACAAAATGATCCATACTCAAATGAAAAGATAATTGAGAACTTGGCTAAAATCTCCAGTAAGAGTTAAGCATTTGTCCTCCACACAAAAAGCCAATGTATTACTCACACTGCACGGTGGCACCACAGCTGGCAGTTCAGCACACCGTCATGAGGATCTGTTTTGTGCTGTTTGATTCTGTATTTTTAATCCTCTAAGGGTGCTGCTAAAAAGCTACCACTTGAAAGTGTGCCTTCTCTAAAGATGAGCAATTACTGCCTTACAGTCCCAATGATTTCTCCAGATTCTAGTGGGAAGAATCACACAGAGCGAGTGCAAACATCAGTAGCCCAATGAATAGTTGCAGGAAGACATGCTTTCCTAGGCTCTTCACAAATCTGGTTCAATCTTTTTTTTTTCTTTTTTCATTGTCTTCAAAAATGCATACTGTCTAAGCCAGTTCTGAGGAGCATCATTATTTGTGGTCATTCTCACCAGTTCCTCTGTTTTCATTCTAGGAGGGTTCGCAAGACTGATCTCAAGCCTCCAGGAGTGAGGGGTGTTCATGCTAATATCACTTTCTTTTACCCTGGGTTACTGACCCCGATATGAAGAGCCGTAGTGGTGTAGTGCTTACACACATGTTGGGCTGCTAAACCCAACGTGCTTACACAGGTGTTGGACTGCTATAGGTCAGCCGTTCAAAACCACCAGCCAACCCAGGGGGTGAAAAACACAAAAAAACAGGTTTTCTACTTCCGTAAAGAGTTATTATAGTCTCAGAAGTTTATTTGTTTTGGTTTGGTGACACAGTGGGCTGGTAACTACAAGGTCAGTAATTTGAACCCACCAGTAGCTCTTTGGGAGAAGGATGAGGCTTTCAGCTCCCACAGAAAGGTACAGCTTTGGAGACCCAATTGGACAGTCTGTTCTACAGGGTCATGATGTGGAGTCACCTCAATGGCAGAGAAAATTTGACCATGACACAGATGGACCCTCTTGAATTTCTCGAGTTGCCCCGAGCTTTCGTGTGAAAGCTACAATTTTACGCAGATGTCTAAGTTATCGCTGCCAAGGTATCGATTACTTACGGAGATGCTCTCTCCGGATCTGGCGATCTTTCTCCGCAGCTTCTTCCTTTCCCGTGCCAGATCATTGTGGCTCTTCAGCAACTCCTCAAAGCGAGCTTTGGTTTTCACTTTGGCTTCACTCTCAACTATGAAAGACAGAACGGTTTGCCGTTTTTCTCGGACATTCCACTCAACACCCCCTTGCATTATTACGCTGCTAAAGGAGTATTGTATGAGTGCCCATGTGTACGCTCCAGCTAGACTTGCGTAACTGGCCACGCCCTCTTCAAAATGCCTTTTCTCTTGCTGACTAACATTCCACAGGAGCACTCTGACCTATGGGCCTGCTCTCTGAGTCTCCCTTGCTAAATTAGTTTCTCACTTCCGGTGCACAGGATCAACTTCATTGCTAGTTAAATGATTTTAGGCAAGTTCCTTAATATCTCTTAATGTCATCTACTCTGCAAAGTCATGGCTAATATTTGCCTAGCCTATAATCAGTACTCAACAACAAAAATTCTTTTGACTCTTCTTCTTGAAAACATAAATAAGATCACATTATTCCCTTAAGAACCTATGACAGTTTTGCATTTCACCGAGGAGAAAATAAAACAGGTGCTCAGCATGCCTTACAGGAACCTACATTTCCTGATCTTCCTAACTCTAGTTCCAAATCAAGACAAGCATTCCCCTAACTCCCCACATTCTAGCCACACTACCCTGCTTTTAGCTTCTCACAAGGTAAGCTCCTGATAGCCTCATGGGATTTCCAAGTACAGATACTTCTAACTTCTAAGCTTACCCTAATCCCTCAACTGACTGATTAGTGTTATTTCTCAGTTGGGTTTTTTTCTGACAATCTCTGGCTTCATTCCGAAGCCTGTTTCTCACATAGCAGACTGTTTTAGCCTTTAGAGCCCATAACTTAACTTGAAATTGTATGATTATTTGCCTAAATAGATGTATATATTGATTGTCAACTCCCCTACTACACTGCATAGTTCATCAATACATCCCTAGTTCCTACTAGAGCAGTGGTTCTCAAATTTCTTAATGTCGTGACCCTTTAATACATGTTTAACTCGTGTTGTGGTGACCCCCAACCATAAAATTATTTTCGTTGCTACTTCATCACTGTAATTTTGCTACTGTTATATATCGTAATGTAAATATCTGATATGCAGGGTGTATTTTGTTACAAATTGAATATAATTAAAGCATTGTGATTAATCACAACAATATGCAGTTATATATTGTGAAGTATGTGTTTTCCAATGGTCTTAGGCGAGCCCTGTGAAAGGGTCGTTCGACCCCCGAGGGGTCCCGCCCCACAGGTTGAGAATTGCTGTACTAGAGGGTCTGGCAGAGTACAAGTTCAATCAACATGTTTTAAACCAGTGGTTCTCAACCTTCCTAATGCCATGACCCTTTAATACAGTTCCTCATGTTGCGGTGATCCACCATAAAATTATTTTAGTTGATACTTCATAACTAATTTTACTACTGTTTTGAATCGGGCAACCCCTGTGAAAGGGTTGTTGGACCCCCAAGGGGTCACAACCCACAGGTTGAAAACCGCTGTTTTAAATGATTGAGGAATGAATGAATGAACGCTGGAAAGTGGGAAATGGCAATGTACAGATCATAGGCCAGTTGTCTGATTTAAGTTTTGCTGAAGCACAACCTTGCCCATTTCGTTTAAGTATCAGTCTGAATTTATGCTGTAACAATGGAGTTCTAGCAGAACAAAAATAGAGGCTGTAGAAACCAAGCCTGAAATAACTTACTAGCTGAATTCTTAAGAAAAAAATCGCACACATCTTCCCTAGTATAAAGTAGTGTCTAATTGTTATTGTTAGTCCATCTTGATCTTGATTCATTGACAACATGTTGCTATCATTAGGTGCCAAGTCGCTCTGTCCCGGTCGTCCTGCGTACAACAGCACACAAAAACGCCTGGCCTTGCACCGCCCTTACATCAGGTGCTGGGCTCAAGTCCACTGTTGCAGCCACTGCGTTAATCCACCTCCCGAGGGCCTCCGTCCATTTTGCTGACCCTCTACATTACCAAGTATGATGTTGTTCTCCAGAGATCAGTCCTTCCTGGTTACATGTCCAGAGTACGTGAGACAAAGGCTCACCATCCTACCTTCTAAAGAACAGTCCTCCGGGACAAATTTGTTCCCTCTTCAAGAAGTCCACAGTATACTCAGGATTCCTCACTGAGACGATAATCCAAATGGATGCTCATTCTTCCTCACTGGCCAGCATCATACAAGGCAATGGAAAATGCCAATGGCTCGGTGCTGTTGCAACTTAATCTTCAGAGCAACATCTTTGCCTTTTTACACTTTACAGAGGCCTTTTGCAGAGCTGCCCAACGCAATACATCATTTGATTTTTTTTTTACCTCTGTTTCCATGGATGTTGGTTGTGGATCTTGGAAAACGTCAATCTCTTTTCCAATTATTATGGTGTTGTTTCATGATCCACTTGGGAGAACTTCTTTCTCATGCGCGTTGTGATTTAATCCACACTGAATGCTCTAGTCTAGGATCTTCATCAGCACGTGCTCCGGTCTTCTTCACTTCCAGCACACAAGGCTGTGTCATCGGCAAATCAGAGGTTTCTGATGGGTCTTCCTCCGATCTTGATGCCACATTCCTTCCGAGTCCAGCTGCTTGGATTATTTGCTTAGCATACAGATTGAACAAGTACGGTGGAAGCATAAAACCCTGACATCTCTCTCCTGATCTGAAACACCCTCTTGTTCTGTTCAAATGACGGCCTCTTGGCCTGTGTACCAGGTCTGCAGGAGCAGTGAAACAGTCTAGAATTGTTAATGAGCCACCCAGTCAAAGGCCTTTGCACAGTCATCAAAACGCAGGTGAATCTTTCGGGTGTTCTCTGCTTTGAACCAAGATACACCTGACATAGCAATGATAGTCCTCATTCCACATCCTCTTAGGAATCAGCTAGAATTTCTGGAAGTTCTCTGTCAATGCACCACTGTACCTGCTTAATTATCTTCAATATAATTTACTTGCATGTGATATTAATGATAGTGTTTGATAATTTCCACAGTCTGTTTGCATCACTTTCTCTGAAATGGACACAATTATGTCTCTCTTCGCAATTACTGGCCAGGTATCTGTCTTCCAAATTTCCTGGCACACACATGAACATTTCCAGTATTGCATCTGTTTGTTGAAACATCTCAATTGGCATTCCATCAATTCTTTTTTTAATTTTTATTAAAAGATCAGTTTATTGGAGGCTCTTACAACTCTTATAACAATCTACAAATCAATTGTATCAAGCATATTTGTACATATGTTGCCAT